TTCATATGACTTCTTCGCTCGCTTCCCTTGTGATGATCATCATACTATAAAACCAGAGACGTCCCTCGCTCCAGGAAAACACTAAGCAGCCAGCCCTCAGCGCGGTAGAGATCCAGGTATCACAAGCATCGTTAGTCACCATGGTCGCCCTCACCAACCTTCTTCTCACCACCCTCCTCGCCTCCGCTGGCCTTGGGTCTGCCCTGCCCCCGCGCATCGGCAACACCGTCATCGAGGCTCGAGAGCCGGAACTGCCAGTCAGCGGCCGCAAAATCACGCTGCCCCAGCAGAAGAACCCGCGCTTCCACAAGTTCAACGGCGCCCTCTCCGTCTACAAGACCTACCTGAAGTACGGCGCCCCCGTGCCCGACCACCTCGCCACAGCCGTCGCCAACCACCTCGGCATCTCAGTCGAGGAAGTCCTCAACTACGCCAACACGACCGCCAACGCCCGGAGAGACCAAGGCTCCGCAACCGCCGCCCCCATTGACCAATCCGACTCGGCCTACACCACCCCCGTCTCCATCGGCACCCCCGCGCAGACCCTGAACCTCGACTTCGACACGGGCTCCTCGGACCTCTGGGTCTTCTCCAACTCCCTTCCCTCCAGTCAGAGAGCCGGCCACGAAATTTACAACCCCAGCAAGTCATCCACGGCCAAGCGGCTTAACGGCGCCTCTTGGGATATTTCATATGGCGACGGGTCGTCATCCAAGGGCCAGGTCTATCTGGATAAGGTGACGATCGGAGGCTTGGTGGTTAGCAACCAGGCAGTCGAGACGGCGCAGCAGGTGAGCCAGAGCTTCACGGCCGAGACGTCTATCGATGGGCTGGTTGGGTTGGCGTTCGGTAGCTTGAATACCGTCAGGCCGAAGCAGCAGAAGACGTGGTTCGAGAATGCGATCGGCCAGTTGGACCAGCCCTTGTTCGCGGCGGATTTGAAGCATGAAGCTTGTAAGTTTATTTCCCTTTTTCGCTTGACTCGAATCGGTTCGGCTGGGCTAGATCACACGTCGTCAGCCCTCGGGGAAATATGGGGAAGCTCAGGGACTTCCAGCAATCCGGGGTTCCGACACCGGAGACACGCCACCTGACCGGATTTCGGCGACCCTATCCGAACAACCATGTCGATGATCTGAGCTTATCTTTGTTCCGTTACTGACAACCCTTCGCTCTGAACAGCCGGTACCTACGACTTCGGCTTCATCGACCCCGCCAAATACACAGGTGACATCACCTACGTGCCTGTCAACCCCAACCCGGGCTACTGGACTTGGACTTCGACGGGCTACCAAGTTGGCTCCTCGCCCTTTGTCTCGCAGTCCATCACCAACATTGCCGACACGGGCACCACGCTCATGTACGTGCCCGACTCGATCCTGCAGGCGTACTACGGGCAGATTCGCGGCGCCACCAACAGCCAGTCGTACGGTGGGTATGTGTTCCCCTGCTCGACCGAGGCACCGGACTTCACGTTCGGAGTGACGGACGAAGCCACGATCACGATCCCGGGTCGTTTCATCAACTATGGGCCGGTGACGGACGACGGCGAGACGTGCTTTGGTGGCCTGCAGACTAGCAGCGATGTGGGCATCAACATCTTTGGCGATGTGGCGCTCAAGGCGGCGTATGTGGTGTTTAAGGGGGGTGACTCGCCGAGTCTGGGGTGGGCTTCCAAGCAGTTGTAGGCGTCTTGGCTGTTTGACGGTTGACTGCCGACCTGTCAAGTACGAGGGAAACACTTGGCCCAAGTTAGCATGATGTTACTAGTATCCCGTAGTGTTTATTTTAGCCAGTCAGGAGCGATCGGTGGGTTTCGGGCCCTTTGGGATGCCGAGATGTTTGGTGTTCTCCGATGTCGGGCAGTCGAGGTGTAATGTTTATGAGGTGCAACACCATGGAGGATCAGAAAAGCCGTAGGAGCCTCTTTCACCTAATTCTATGTCCAACAACCCAACTCCATGTCCATGGTGCCTTGTGGGTGTGTATACAGTGTCCAGAGTGAATATACTCTTCCTTCCTAGTCTGTTCCTGCATGTTGTCGCGTGGCCGAGGATGGAGTGCCACATGGAGACGGGGCAGATGATCCTCCATGTCTTGCATGTACACTATGTGCCCGGAGTTTGCATCTGGGCTTGGAACTCCAGATGGTGGTGACTCACATGCCTGCTGGATGTTAATCAGCGGAGTTGGATGTGCCAATGGACCTGTCCGTCGTCTTGGTTCCCCCCGTTGATACTGTACAAAACAAGCTGCCCTGCCTTAGTTCCCGGATCTAGTCTAAGCCCTATGTATCACAGGGGGACCTTCCTGGCGGGGGATGATCAAGCGAAGCCCGCCCGCAGGTGTTGATGGTCCAGATGGTGTGTATGTAAACAGCTGAGATCCGAGAACGGACCTGAAGGACGACTGGACGGTTCGGTTCGTCTTGGTGATCGTCGTTACTCGCTCGGGGCGCCATGCCAAGGTCTTGGCTCCCCCGATCTCGCCCTGCGTTCGATAGTCGCGATCGATGTTTCGATGCAGACGGGAGCGGGAGGGGAGCGGGAGGGATGTGATGTGATGCACCAGACTTTTGCGCGCGGAAGATAAGGTAAGGCTTGAAGCTGTCACGCCGCCGCGCGGCGGGCGGCCCGCAACGGAAGCCAAGAAATGTCCGTCGGGAGGGAGGGAGTATTGGAAGTTTCTTTTTTGGTGACTAGAAGCTGTGATAGATAACGTAGTGGCGTGGCAATGAAATTAGTTCGGGGGAAAAAAAAAAGCTTATTTCGACAACACCAACAGCAACAGTAAACATGGATGGATATCATCACTACCTAATTGCTTTTGGTGTTTTGCTGCTGCTGCGAATTAAGTTGTCTTGGCATTTTTGATGGATGGAGAAAAAAGACGTTATGTAGTTGTGTTCTAATTCCGCGCCATGTGCTCTATAACCGATGAGGACCGCGTAGGACCGTGTACACCCGACGTCATGTCGACGGAACGAAGACCGCTGTTAAATTGAATGTCAATGGGTACACTAAACCCCGAGAGAGACGGACGGACCAGGTGTGCCCGGGGCAGGCCGCAGGACCCTTGTGGTGATTTGGGATTATGAGTGAGTGGGTGGAGTCGGGAGGAGGATGATTCTTCTTCTTTTTGGTACATTGGTAGATATGGTATTTGCCGCCGTCGCATTGATCGATATGGGGCCTTCGGGGAAGGAAGGGAGCAGGCGGCGCATACCTATCGGGATGCGCAAAAAAAAAAAAAGTTGGGGAAGCGAAGATCTCAAAGAAGAAGGTTATCGATAGACAGAATACTGTTACGTACCTAGTTTGATTGACATGGCAATCAATGATGTCGTGCACAGTCAATCATCATCATCATCATCATCATCATCATCATTTTCTTCTCTGGACGACACGCTCCATTAGGACTAGACTGGACTGTGACTGATGAAGCCTTTTTGGATGTCTTTGCTTCTGTCGACCTCCCGCCGCGGCGAATGGAAGGACCGATTAGTTTTGATGAGAGGTAAAAAAAGGGTCCCCCCGGTGTTGTTGGGATTGTCTTGGCTTCCCGTCCACTTCCATTCTGGAGAACTGCCGCCGAAACCGCTGCTGCTGGCCATGCGAATTACCGTGACCGGCGCGCGGTACCGACCGGATCCCTTGCTCACATTTCAGTGTACATGTCTGTTGTGTTAGAATACATAATCACACCCCGTAATCGTCAATGCTGGTCTTGTTCCCTTGGTCTTTTGGATCATAGCCGATACAGGCACCGAGAGAATGTTAAATTACAGGGTCGAAGATCGGTGTTAGGGCTGACAACCATTATCTATATCCACTGACTGTCGGTCTCACCAACGCAAAATAATCAATCACAGGCGGAAAAAGATGGGATGAACGGATTTATCGTGTGTGTGTGTGGAAATTCGGGCATGGCGGACATGTCGAATGCAAGTCACTGGAAAAAGAGGCAATTGTGTGTGAGAGGGAAATGTCCCTGTCCAGTACCAAGAGATGCAGCCGAGGCAGCCTCAAAGAACAAAGTGGATCTGCCAAGCGGAGACGACGTTACATGGAGGTATTCTCCCGGCCGGCCGGCATTGAACGAACTAACAAAGAAGCCATCGTGCAGTAGCGCCCTTTGCCCCTGAAGAAGTAGTGTAGGGGACGTAGCGCACGTAGCGCTTCGTGACGCAACAAGTCGGAATTTGCGTCTGGTAGAGGTAAACAACGTCCGCTGTGTTTCCGGATGGTGTGTTGTGTTCCCGCTTTTCAGGTTTGCCCAACCCTTAGGTCAGTATCACCCCGCGATAGGGAATATCGCACACATCATAGTTGATGTAAGATGGTTGGGTTATTTGCGAGTGAGTGGCGACAACCCAACCTGACACCTTCCATATTCATGATACCAACGCAGGAATAAGCTCATGGCGGCATGCCCTATGCGTACTAGTATACGGAACTGTACCCCAGCAAATGCGACAGCATCAAATCAGCCATGTCAGTGATAAGGTAGGCACCTCTCATCCCGTCCAGTGCGAGTGAGCGATTGTCGGCCGACAAGTGTGGATATGGTGAGTGTCCGGCGCGGCCACTCTGACTGTGTTGCACAAAGCAAGCCCTATTATGCGAGCAATTTGGGTGTGCGTGCGGCTGTCGCGTGTATAGGTAGCAGTGTTTTCTTGATATGTATTTGCATTCGCCAATGCGTCACAAGTCAGTCATGGAACGAGTGGGACAAACGCCCTTCAAAGGACACATTGATCCATTGCCACGCCCATCTTCGAAAAGATCTGGAGCCTCTTGTTGTTAGCTCATCAACGGTGATGAGGGAGGCCACAAGTCGTATTGCAAAGCCCGCCGGCAGAAAAACGAGTCGAACCTGGACCAACCTCGGGATTCGTTATCCATACAGTATCCATCCACGGGCTCCACCCAGCAGACCACGGGTTTCACGGGTCCACGCTGGCATCCTTTGGCTTCCCAGCACCGGCTGGCCTGGGAGGTATACACGGCAAGTGGTTCCCGGCTGTCTGGTGTGTGATTTGTCAATCTTGCCTCAGTTGGGTGGGACAGGCCCGAAGACCAGTCGACTGATTGTCGGTGAAAAGGCGACTTTGTCCATGATAAGGGCTTGCGTGCTTGCGAAACAGACAAAACGGCTCGCGCCTTCCCCCCCCCCGGCCTCCAGAATCGGCGCTGCCAGTCGAGCCAGTGGAAAGTCGCTACGGTGCTTCATGCCGTACAAGGAAGGAGGATTGCGGAGGAACCACTTTCGACCACCTGCCAAGCCCCCGGGAATCAGGGACATCCCACGGTTGTCGGTGGTCTCCCTCGTCTCCCACACATGGATCTCGTCTCGCGCGGTGGTGTGCTTGCTGACAGTGCTGTGCTGACAATATCCTCTTTTCTGCTTCACGCCTTTCCATCGGGCCCTTCCCTCTGTCGCCCCGCAGTCCTTCCTGGCTTTCCCTTTCCAGCCCTCGTGGTCGCGTGCTCCCGATGTGACTCTGCTCTGCTCAAGGACATGACTTGGTCTCGTTTTTAACTCGGCGACTCCCCCGCGTCGAGTCCATGGCTGCTTCCCCAGTTTCTTCGTGACCCTTCTCCCCATTTCGAGTCTCCTCGACAAGAACGGACTCTTGTTCATCTCATTCGAGTCGCAGTCTGTGACCGGTCAGGCAGGCAGCTCAACGGTCCTCGACAGGCAGGCTCTCTCCATATCCACTGTCCTTCCAGTCTCCTCCCCCTCCCCTGCCCTTACCAGAGGCCAGAGGGTTGAATTTTTCCTTACTGGAGCGACTTGGAGACAGTTTACGAGATAACAACAACACCAAAAGTCCACAATGGGTATGTGTCCTTTCCATGTTCGCATATGTATGCATTACACATACATACATATGCTGTTGCTTTCGGTGTGCCGATTCCCGTCCCGAGTGTTACCTTGGAACACCCGATTGCATCAATTTCCCTCCTGGTCGCTTCTCATCTTCAGCTTCTTTCTTCATCAAGCCATCACCATCTCAAGCAATCTTGAATCACCAGACTAACACATGGCAAACATAGCTACGGCAGAGATTGTGGCTGCTGATGCCAGCTCCAACTATGACTTGGAGAAGCACAACACGGCCAGCACCACGCAGAAGCACATCCCCATTGAGGACGACTATGAGGGCAAGCCCACCCAGGAGGAGCTCGACACGCTCCGCCGTGTGCCCGGTAGTCTGCCCATCATTGCTTATATGATTTGCATCATCGAGTTCTGCGAGAGAGCGTCGTACTACGGTGTCCAGCCCCTTATTAGCAACTATGTCAACCGCCCCCTGCCCCAAGGCGGCAACGGTTGGGGTGCTCCCGCCCGTGGCACTCAGCAGACTGCCGGTGCCCTCGGTATGGGCCAGAGTACCTCCAACGCCGTCACTCAGTCCTTCTCCATGTTGGCTTATGCCCTGCCCCTCCTTTTCGGCTGGCTGGCCGACGCAAAGACTGGCCGCTTCAAGCTTATCTGCTGGGGTGTCATTGTCTTCGGTATCGCTCACGTTCTCCTGATCGTTGCCGGTGCCAAGAACCTCCTTGCCGACGGAAGCTCCAAGGCTCCCTTCTTCATCGCCGTCTACATTCTCGCCTTTGGTGCTGGTGAGTGAACAACACCCTTGAACCAATCCCAACGAGTCCCTGCTCACTGACTCCTCACAGGCATGTTCAAGCCCAACGTCTCTCCCCTGCTCCTCGATCAAGTTACCAACACCAAGCCCATGATCAAGGTGCTCAAGACCGGCGAGCGCGTTATCGAGGACCCCGAGGCCACCACTGAGCGTGTCATGTTGTGGTTCTACCTCATGATCAACATTGGTGGTTTCATGGGTGTTGCCACTGCCTACTCCGAAAAGTACATTGGCTGGTGGCTTGCCTTCCTCATCCCTCTTGTCCTTTATCTTCCTCTTCCCCTTCTCCTGTGGTTCCTCCGCAAGCGCCTCATCCTCCACCCCCCCGGTGGTTCCGATCTCCCCAACGTCTTCAGGGTTCTTGGTGTCTGCCTCCGCCGCGGAGGTATCAAGAAGATTGGTCGTCACGGATTCTGGGAGCTGGCCAAGCCTTCCAACATTGCTGCTGCCGGCCTTGAGGGTACCTACCAGACTCAATGGAGCGACCAGTTCGTTGAGGATGTCCGCCGTACATTCCAGGGTACCGGTATCTTCTGTTTCTTCCCTATCCAGTACCTCAACGACAACGGTCTCGGCTCGGCCGCTAATTTCTTGTCGACCATGTTGAGAACGGATGGTGTCCCCAACGACGTCATCTCCAACTTTAACTCTCTCAGCATCATTGCTACTGCTCCCGTCCTCAATTACGGCTTGTACCCTGCGCTTAGACGGCTCGGCATCCACTACGGTCCCATCGCTCGCATCACCACCGGTTTGGCCCTGTCCACCCTCGGCGGTGTGGGCTACACGCTGCTCAACTACTACGCCTACAAGCTGTCTCCTTGCGGCGAGTACGGTTCCAGTGACTGCACCATCGGCACCGGTGTTGCTAACATTAGCATTTGGTATTTGGCTATCCCCTTCGCCATTGGTGGTATTTCCGAGTTGTTTGTCAACGTGCCTGCGTACGGTATTGCTTACTCGCGCGCTCCTGTCAACATGAGAGGTCTTGTCTCTGCCATCAACCTGTTTTCCACGGCTGTGGCCTACATCATCGGTCTTGCCTGCTCTTCGGTTGTTACCGATCCCTACCTTACCTGGGACTTTGGTGGCCCCGCCATTGCTGGCGGTGTCCTCACCATCATCTTCTACATCACCTTCAGGCACATCGACAAGGAGGAGACCGTCTTCTCCCAAAGAGAGACCATTGAGGCCACTCCTGTCGAGGATTCCAGCAGCCAGGTTGGCGAGAAGCCCTCTCCCGTTTATTCCGAGAAGAAGTAATAGCACAGCTGTGCATGGGCTAGGAGGCGGTTACCCTTTGGCCTTATCGACTTTTCTTCTTCTGTATGCGACAAGCGGGCGGTCCATTTGACATGGGCATGTTGGTAATTTCGGTGGGAATTGTATTATTTATTTTGTGATGATTTGGATAGTCATACTTGGCGCATCTTGCATGGTTGGATGATCGGTTGGGTGGGTTCGGAAACTCACGGCATATCACGTCATGAAGATGATCATGATAAAGGGCGGGCCATTCGGACGTAAATTATGACTGGTTCGAGGATGAAACGACCGCACATGTACATATAACTAATGATACCAAAGAAGAACAAGCTGTATAACAGTACATATCTGAGATATTCGCCTTGAGTCCTGGTGTTGTCCTCTGTGTTATGAAAGAGTAGTGTCAGCCTGAAGAATACGCTTTTGGACGGACCGATCGCAGTTCGTCTGAGGGTGCGGTGCAACGTTGTGTCCCAATCGTGGACTATAGAAGATATGCAGGGGACGAGAAAAGGAGGTTGACATACTGTAGCCATGCGGCAAAGCTGACGCTTTTGAAGTTCTGCGCCGTACCATACGCTTACCATTGAGAATATGGGGGGAATTGACCGAGGGCGTGGCACAACAGAAACGCGCTTACCACCCTCGAGTGTCAAGGAAAAGAACTAAGAGCTGAGCGAAGCCTGGGGGCACAGGACACTTCTACAGAGACGAGGCTGAAACTTTAAATTCAAATCTGGTATGTACTTCAAGCACATTGGGCCAGCCTTTTGTTTTTTTCTTTTTTTCGCCCATTTGAAGCCAACATAGATGTGATGGCAGTTATTCCGAGTTGACGCCACGAGTGTGCAGCGGCCGCTTAGTTGGAGCTGGGAAACTGAGCTGAAGCAATGTAAAAGTCGAAGGACAACAATAAAATACTAGGTAGGTAGTCAAGTTCCATTCGATCCTCTTCTTCTTATCACTTTCCCTTTCCCTTTCTCTTCTGTTTCGCCTTCTGTCCATTCATTTGTTGTTGTTGTTGTTGTTGTTGTTGTTACATAGTAGTCATTTTTCCTCTCTCTTTCTCTTTCTCTATCATGCCGGAGCGCCCAGCCCCTAAAAAGCATCCGTCTTCAGTCACAACTAAATGTTTTGTCTGACCCGTTCATTACTTTACCCAGCCGGCTTTTTAGCTTCTCGTTGTTGCAGTCACTCACTCACTCACTCACTCCCGCCGCATCCACGATGATGCTCGCTATCGCTTACCCTGTCAATGCTTCTCCTTTTTCTTTCTTCTGCTCGTATTGATAAACCCTGTTGTTCTATTAGCCGCCACTACTACTACTCCCATCGCGGAGAGGAGACGAGTTGGTGAAAGCGAAGAAGAAGAAGAAGAAGAAGAAGAAGAAGAAGAAGAAGAAGAAGAAGAAGAAGAAGAAGAAGAAGAAGAAGAAGATCGGGACGATTAGTAAAAATGCCGTTTACCTACCCTACCCTATTGGATCGACGATGTATTCATTTGCATGGTGGAGACAGAGAGGGAGGAGGACCAGACGGTTCGCTTTCGTTGGTGTTATTTCAGGTGCACATGGTGGAGGGGGATGGGGATGGATGGATGGGTTTGAGTAGGTAGGTAGGTAGGTAGGTATATTGCTCGTACGTAGGTCATCCATCATATTTTTGTTCTGTTCTCTCCCTTTTGTGCTCCACCATAACGTTAGCCGTACAATTTACGGCGATGATGAAGATGAGTAGGTGGTGACGCCCATGGGGGGTCAAAGTGGTGAATGAAGATGAAGGAAGCAAGCAAGCGGGAGGTGGTGTGATGCTGATACTAAAACTGATACTGAATGATACTAACACTCCCCACACCAAACACATCCATCCATTCAATTGACAGACTAGGTAGAGGTACGTACGGCTGGATCGTAAACACCGCCAAAAAAAAACCTCTCTCCCTGTGCAACGTCTTCCAGCTTGCCTACCCTCTCTTTTCCAATGGGCATACGGCTCCGGATGCAATGAGCCATTACTTTGACATCACGTCCGCTACTAATTCCCTTCCAGTTTCTCTTTCCCTTTCTTCTTCTTCTTCTTCTTCTTCTTCTTCTTCTTCTTGGCTGCAACTACGTAAGCAATACAATACCGCCGCAGCAGACGAGAAAGGGTTCAGTTTCCAGCCGTCTCAGCAGCTGTCACAGGGATCGATCGATTCATAACAACACGCTCGCTCGCTCGCTCACTCACTCTACGACCGACCGACGATGAATTTGTTCCCATTTTGGTTGAAAAGCCTGTCATTCGTTGTGTTGGTAATGATTCCCGCTTCTCTTTCATTCTATCTTTCATCTCATCTCATCTCATCTCATCTCAGACCCCC